AATCAGCTTCCCCACAGCAAAAAATTAGTACAGGAACAAGAGGAAAATGAAGAAAACAGATACTCAGATCCAGATTCCAACAAAATGAAGATAAACTATGCCAAAGAACCCAATGAAGCTCATAAGAATAATTTAAAAGATGAAATACTACAAGTACTCAATGAGGATTTTATAGAGATGATACTGGATAGGGTCAACCAAAATGTACAGGAGACACTCAAGAAATTCCAAGACAACAAAAACAGAGAATTTGAAAAGCAAAAGAAGAAACAAAGGAAACCATAGAAGCACTGTATAAACACCAAAGTGAAACAGAGAACATGATTAATAAACAGATAAATGAACTCAGGACAAAAATAGATACCATTAAAGAGGAAACCACCCAGGATATGGAAAACCTCAGAAAAAAGAACGAGACTGAATTGCAAAACAAAACGGAAGGCCAATCCACCAGAACAGAACAAACAAAAGACAGAATCTCAGAACTTGAAGATGAAATGGTAATTAAAGGAAAAACCAAAGAACTATTAATTAAACAACTCAAGACCTCTGAAAAGAAAATGCAAGAACTCACCAACTCCATCAAAAGACCAAACTTGAGAATCATGGGCATCGAAGAAGGAGAAGAGGTGCAAGCAAAGGGAATGCATAATATATTCAACAAAATAATAACAGAAAATTTCCCAAATCTAGAGAAAGATATTCCCATACAGATGCAAGAGGCCTCCAGGACACCAAACAGACCAGATCAAAATAGACCTACCCCATGGTAGTCTGGGAGTAGGCTGGGAGTGTGGCTCAAGTGGTAGAGTACCTGCCTGGCAAGCACAAGGCCCTGAGTTCAAACCTCAGTGCTGCTTAAAAAAACGAAAAAAAAATCATTATAACAACAAGTACAGAAACTAGGGAAAGAATATTGAAGGCTGTAAGAGAGAAAAAAACAAACAACATACAAAGGTAAACCCATCAAAATCACAGCAGACTTCTCAACAGAAACATTAAAAGCAAGAAGAATGTGGGGTGAGATCTTCCGGGCACTGAATGAAAATCACTTCCACCCCAGGATACTCCATCCGGCAAAACTATCATTCAAAATAGATGGAGCAATAAAAGTCTTCCATGATAAGCAGAAACTAAAACAATATGTGACCACAAAGCCACCACTACAAAGGATTCTTCAAGGGATTCTGCACACAGAAAGTGAAACCCAACTTAACCATGAAAGGACAGGCAGCACTAAACTACAGGAAAAGAAAAAGCAAGAAAGTAGAGAGTAACCTCAACTTAGGTACACACAATCAAACCTTCAAACAACTAAGACAACTAAATGACAGGGATCACCACATACCTATCAGAACTAACGCTTAATGTAAATGGACTTAATTCACCCATCAAAAGGCACCGCTTGACGAAATGGATTAAAAGGGAAGATCCAATGATTTGTTGCTTACAGGAGACCCATCTCACCAACAGAAATGAGCATAGGCTTAGGATGAAAGGCTGGAAGAAGATTTACCAAGCCAATGGCCCCCGAAAAAAGGCAGGAGGAGCAATACTTATCTCTGACAAAATAGACTTCAAACCTACATTGATCAAATGAGATAAAGAAAGACATTCAATACTAATAAAAGGGGAAATAGACCAAAAGGAAATAATAATCATCAACCTGTATGCACCCAATGTCAACACACCCAATTTCATCAAACATACCCTGAAAAACCTAAAAGCATATATTAACCAACACAGTGGTCGTGGGAGACTTTAACACCCCAATATCATCAATAGATAGGTCATCCAAACAAAAAATCAATAAAGAAATTCAAGATCTAAAATATGCAATAGATCAAATGGACCTAGTAGATGTCTACAGAACATTTCATCCAACTTCTAAACAATGTATATTCTTCTCAGAAGCCCATGGAACCTTCTCCAAAATAGATCGTATCCCAGGGCACAAAGCAAGCCTCAGCAAATAAAAGAAAATAGAAATTATACTGTGCATACTATCTGATCACAATGCAGTAAAACTAGAACTCAACAACAAAAGTAAAGATAAAAAAAATGCAAACAGCTGGAAACTAAATAACTCATTACTTAATGGACAATGGGTCACTGATGAAATAAAAGAGGAAATTAAAAAGTTCCTGGAAGTCAATGAAAATGAAAGCACAACCTACCTGACCTATGGGACACAGCAAAGGCAGTCCTGACAGGAAAGTTTATAGCCATGAGTGCATATTTTGGGAAAGATCCCAAAAAAAGCTATATATGACAAACCTACAGCCAGCATTATACTTAATGGAGAAAAACTGAAACCATTCCTTCTAAAATAGGAATGAGACAAGGATGCCCACTATCTCCACTCCTATTCAACAGAGTACTGGAATTCCTAGCCAGAGCAATTAGGCAAGAAGAAGGAATAAAAGGAATACAAACAGGTAAAGAAACTGTCAAAATAGCCCTATTTGCAGACGACATGATCCTATACCTTAAAGACCCAAAAAACTCTACTCAGAAGCTTCTAGACATCATCAATAGCTATAGCAAGGTAGCAGGAAAAATCAACATAGAAAAATCAATAGCATTTCTATACACTAATAATGAACAAACTGAAAAAGAATATATGAAAACAATTCCATTTACAATAACCTCAAAAAAAATCAAATACCTAGGTGTAAACCTAACAAAAGATGTGAAAGACCTCTACAAGGAAACCTATACACTTCTGAAGAAAGAGATTGAGGAAGACTATAGAAAGTGGAGAGATCTCCCATGCTCATGGATTGGTAGAATCAACATAGTAAAAATGTCTATACTCCCCAAAGTAATCTACATGTTTAATGCAATTCCCTTCAAAATTCCAATGACATTCATTAAAGAAATCGAAAAATCTACCGTGAAATTTACATGGAAACACAAGAGGCCACAAATAGCCAAGGCAATGCTCAGTCAAAAGAAAATGCTGGAGGTATCACAATACCTGACTTCAAACTGTATTACAAAGCAATAATGATAAAAACAGCATGGTACTGGCACAAAAACAGACATGAAGACCAGTGGAACAGAATAGAGGACCCGGATATGAAGCCACACAACTATAACCAACTTGTCTTTGACAAAGGTGCTAAAAATATATGATGGAGAAAAAGCAGCCTCTTCAACAAAAACTACTGGGAAAACTGGTTAGCAGTCTGCAAAAAACTGAAACTAGATCCATGTATATCACCCTATACCAATATTAACTCAAAATGAATCAAGGATCTTAATATCAGACCCCAAACTCTAAAGTTGATATAGGAAAGAGTAGGAAATACTCTGGAATTAGTAGGTATAGGTAAGAACTTTCTCAACGAAACCCCAGCAGCACAGCAACTAAGAGATAGCATAGATAAATGGGACCTCATAAAACTAAAAAGCTTCTGCTCATCGAAAGAAATGGTCTCTAAACTGAAGAGAACACCCACAGAGTGGGAGAAAATATTTTCCAGCTACACATCAGACAAAGGACTGATAACCAGAATATATAGGGAACTTAAAAAACTAAATTCACCCAAAACTAACGAACCAATAAAGAAATGGGCACATGAACTAAACAGAACTTTCTCAAAAGAAGAAATTCAAATGGCCAAAAAACACATGAAAAATGCTCACCATCTCTAGCAATAAAGGAAATGCAAATTAAAACCACGCTAAGATTCCACCTCACCCCTGTTAGAACAGCCATCATTAGCAACACCACCACCAACAGGTGTTGGCGAGGATGCGGGGAAAAAGGAACCCTCTTACACTGTTGGTGGGAATGTAGACTAGTACAACCACTCTGGAACAAAATTTGGAGGCTACTTAAAAAGCTAGACATCGATCTACCATTTGATCCAGCAATACCACTCTTGGGGATATACCCAAAAGACTGTGACACAGGTGACTCCAAAGGCACCTGCACACCCATGTTTATTGCGGCACTATTCACAATAGCCAAGTTATGGAAACAGCCAAGATGCCCCACCACTGACGAATGGATTAAGAAAATGTGGTATCTATACACAATGGAATTTTATGCAGCCATGAAGAAGAACAAAATGTTATCATTCGCTGGTAAATGGATGGAATTGGAGAACATCATTCTGAGTGAGGTTAGCCTGGCCCAAAAGACCAAAAATCGTATGTTCTCCCTCATATGTGGACATTAGATCAAGGGCAAACACAACAAGGGGATTGGACTTTGAGCACATGATAAAAGCGAGAGCACACAAGGGAGGGGTGAGGATAGGTAAGACACCTAAAAAACTAGCTAGCATTTGTTGCCCTTAACGCAGAGAAACTAAAGCAGATACCTTAAAAGCAACTGAGGCCAATAGGAGAAGGGGACCAGGAACTAGAGAAAAGGTGAGATCAAGAAGAATTAACCTAGAAGGTAACACCCACGCACAGGAAATCAATGTGAGTCAATGCCCTGTATAGCTATCCTTATCTCAACCACCAAAAACCCTTGTTCCTTCCTATTATTGCTTATACTCTCTCTACAACAAAATTAGAGATAAGGGCAAAATAGTTTCTGCCGGGTATCGTGGGGGTGGGGGAGAGAGGGAGGGGGTGGAGTGGGTGGTAAGGGAGGGGGTGGGGGCAGGGGGAAGAAGCGACCCAAGCCTTGTATGCACATATGAATAATAAAAAAGTAAAATAAAACAAAAAAAGATGGAGACAGAGACTGGAGTGATGTCACCAGAATGCAGGGCATGGCTCCGGCTGCCAGAACCTGGAAGAGAGGAGGTGGATCCTCACCTGAAGTGTGTGGCAGGAAAATGGCCCTGCTCTGACCTTAATTGTAGGTGCCTTATCTCCAGAACTGTGAGAATAAACTGCTGTCGGTTTAAGCCAGCAATGTGTGACAGTTTGTTAGCGCATCCCCGAGAAACTAGTAACACCACGTCCCCAGGCAGGGGTGTGCAGGGAGAGGCAAAGTTGAGTGGGGAGGAGAAACACTGAGCAACCCAGCATACCTGGCAGCACAGGGACACGAGGCAACACTGGAGGAGTTTGGAGCTGCTGGTGCCGTGAATGTGAAAGGGGAACCGCCAGAGCCACCCTGAAGGTGGCGACGAGGGGCTCCCAGAGGAGTCGTCCTCTTCCCAGAAGACACCGAGAGGATGACCGAGGATGCAGGTTTTGCTTCTCCCACACCTTTCCACCTCTTCGGTGCTCATGGCCAGCACGTGAAGTCCATCAATGGGAGACAGCCCCACATGCTCTGCGAGCTGGAGGGAGCAATCTGGAGACCCCACACCCCTGGTGGGAATGAGGAGGGGAGGGACTCGAGGGGAATAAAATGGAAAACTCCTGACCCTTCAGCGGACTACCAGTTCAGGCCCCCTTCTCACTTGGAGAAGTCTGTACTTTTGCTTTCAATAAACCACTATCTCTCTATGTCTTTGCGTCCTGCCTTTTAATTCTTTAATAAGCAGAGAAGAACCCTCCCAGCCTTCAGCCAGTACCAAATGGGACCAGATAAGCAGAAACACTAAATCTAGCTCAGCTACTAACCCATTAACAAGTATAAATGCCACTTACCTCAATTTGTATTGGTCTGCCAGAATTGAAGTTCAGTGTTTAATCAAAAATTACAGGACCCACAGGTGAACTGTGACATATCATCATCACGCTATGAAAACCAAAAAGAAAACCTTGACAGCTACCAAAGAAAACAAGACACATGTCACACAGCGCAATATTAATAAATGCAAAGGCTTCTCGTCAGGAGTGACACAAGGTAGTGTATGATAGGAGCAGAGCGTTCTGGTGCATTACCCTCATTTCAGTTATTAAAATTTCTGTTACTGTTCCCAAATGTCTGTGAAATTCTTAACTCATTGAATATTGAGAAAAGACTTTCTGCTTTTCCTCTCTTAACTCTTACATATAAGTTGTATATCCCACTTGAACTTACAAAAAGTCAAGCTACCTGTGGTGGTCAACATTGATTGTCAACTTGATTGGATTGAAAGCTGCCTCAGAGATTAGTAAAGCAAACCCTCGGTGTATCTGTGAGGTCTTTCCAGAGAGGATTAACTAAGGGTAGACGATCCACCGTGGATAGCACCATCATACAGGCTTGGGGCATAGGTGAAATATGAGGGAAAGAAGGAGGAGGGAGCTCCATGAGCACAGGCGTTCTGTCCTTGCCACTTCCTGGCTGCCTGGTGGCCACGTGTCACCCACCACCATGATGCTCTGCCTTACCTCAGGCCCAAAGCCACAAGGCTAAGCAACCAAGGGTTGAAACATCTGAAGGTATGAATTTCTGAAACTCTGAACCAAATTAATCTTCCTTCTGTTACACTGATTTTCTCAGGTTTTTGTCACAGCAATGAAAACTAACTTTCATTGATGAGCCAAGGACAAGGCTGTTTTGTTACATTCTTCACAGGCACTGATTTCGTGCTTTTCTCACAGTAGGCATCAGTAATGGGCTTGGCGTTTATTGAAATTGTTCCTGTCATTTTTCAGTTGCCTTGTTTTTCAATTCATACGTTTTCCTTCCTTATTCGTATCTTCATAATATCTAAACACACCATGAATGTTCATTTTCATTTCCAATCTGAAATAATTTAAGAAGTTTACAGTGAGATCTTTAAATTATAAAATACTATACCATGTTAGTAAACACCAAAAATTTTACTTGGACTTACTAGGAGAAACAGCTCCCATGTTTTAATATGTTTTATTCAAGTATGACGTCTTGCATGAGGAATTTATAATTAAGCTGTACTAGAGAAAAAAGAAACTAACTATCATTTTCTTAGAGTCTCATTTAAGTCTACATTTTGACAGTCTGGAGTCCATGTAGATAAGTCACAGAGTAGTTTTTAAATTTGGTTTGATCAAGGCTTCAGGAGAACTTGAAGTGAGAGGTATTGTAAATAAATACCACACACACTTAGGTATCTACTGCGCTCATTCATCAAATATTTACTATAGTCAGGTACTCTCCAAGACATGGGAAACATCAAACAAAGCACAAATGCTTGTGCACTCAAGAAGCTTGCATTCTAGCAGAGAGAGATTAGAAAATAAGTTAGCAAACTGCATAATAGTATGTTGGAAAGGGATAAATGATCTGAGAGAAGAAAGTGAAGTTTTAAAAAGGGAGAATGAGTTGGAGCAGCCACAGGCAGAATGAACACAGAAAAGTATAACAGAGAATAAGTAATTTACTGGAGAAAGATGATCAATAGGTTAAATTAAATGTTCCATAATTAAAATCTATTAAAATGTGACTGTTTTACTGCCTTGATGTTTTCTAATTTTGTTAACTGCACTCACATTTTATACTTATTTATGCTTTAATTTTTATGTTCAACTTCCATCTACATTATTCAAGTATACATAAATTTATTTATGGATATTTTCCCAACAGTGACAAAAGTTTCAACCCCAGGATTTATGAGATTCTGTGTCTCCTTTTGGGGATAATTGGAAAAGGAAAACTGGGTGTTGAGTCCAGAAATGGAGCACAAAGGAGATGGCAAAGCAAGGGTGCAGGTTTTTACAGAAGTCTTAGGAGAAGTAACAGAAGCTGAGACAGTACAAGACTAGGCCTCAGCCCTCACATATTGCATCTGTTCAAAAAATGGAAGCTAAGAAATGGATAAAAGAGACAGACATTATTGCCTTAATTTAAATATCTTTTAATAGTTGTGTCTGGAGCAGACCCACCCCTGGCTCATGTCTACCAACTGAGCCAAGGAGCACTCTGGAGCTGGTAGCCCTGTAACTTGTCATAAGGAGCAGTGACTGCACAACAGGCACCTGCTAGCTCTTTTCTTACCTTTTTTAAGGTATAATTGACTGATACATACATATATATATATATATATATATATATATATATATACCATGTACAGTGTGATGTTTTGATGCATATTTACATCATGAAATCAGCAAATCAAGCTAATTAACAAGTCCACCACCTCACAGGCTTCTCATTTTGGTGGTGAGAACATTGAAGACGTTTTTCAAGCACAGAGCACATTATTAACTACAGTCACCATGCTATGCAGTACACCTTGCAACCCATTCCTTCTGTCTGACTGCACCTTTGTTCTCTTTCACCAACACCTCCCCACCAACCTTCCCAGGCCCCCATAACCAGATTCTTGACTTTGTATCACAAGGTTGACTTTTTTAGATTCCATATGTGAGTGGGGTCATACGGTATCTGTCCTCTGAGCCGGGATTATTCATTTGAAATAATATCCTCCAGGTTCACCCTGCAGCCACACAAGTCACAAGTGAGGGAATTCCTAGTTCTCTAAGGCTGAATAGTGTCCCATTATGCATACACGTTGCATTTTCTTTTACACTCGCTCTTCAAGGACCACTTAGATTGTTCCCATGTCGAGGCTATTGAGACCAGTTCCGCAGTTAATAGGGGAATGCGGACGTCTCCTTGACGCTGGTTTCAGCTCTGTCAGAGCTTCATGTAGCAGCTGGTTCCCGGCTCATCTGTATTTCTAACTGCTTGAGGAATCTGTGTGTTGTTTTCCTCAAGGCTGAACCATCAGTTCACCTGCTCATTCTTGAAAGGTCACAGAATGTAGAGGAATAGGAGTGCAGGTCCCTCCCTGCTCAGTCTCTCAAAGCATCCCATTGTCCACAGCACGCCTGCAATCTTATCTGTTAGGAAACCAGGTGCAGTGAACATCTTGTGGGTGCTGGTGCCTGGTAATCCACCACCCTGGGGAGAATGTGGGACTGCCTGAAAGGAGGGTCACTAAGATTATTATTTCTCCAAAATAAGTGTCTACTCAGACTTGATCTTCACACTCATTGGCATAAGCTATTACCATCATCACCCTCCACGGTGAAATTGGGAAACTGAGGAGGGAAGGCTCTGGAACAGGGGTGAAATTCCACCATGACCCCTCCCAGTGCCAGCAGCCTAGCCAAGCACACAGCAGAAACAAATGGTCACATGTGTTAGCTTTACCCCACTGGATATAGGAAGTTCCCATCAGGAACTTTGTGTGTCTGAGCTCTTCCCTGTAATCTTCTGGATAGAGTGCCAGTGACGGTTGAAAGTCACAGTTCTGCACGTGCCATGGGAGCTCAAAAGCAAAAGTTAGACTAGGAAGAAATGAAAGGCACACTCCACTCCCTGCGTTCCACATAAAAAGAAAATGATACCAAATACGCTGATTTCAAATGTGAAGAAGGAAGTCTAAAACATTTCTGAAACAACATTCATCCATCTCACAAATGCATAAACCAATTTCATGTGTGCAAAGTCCTTGGATTAGAAAAATCAGTGGAGGTCTGTTTCATGCTATTACCTAAAGAAAATTTTATCATGTCCACCAAAAGCTCTGAATTCAACAGGTATTGAACGACAGGGCAGTGTGGTTCACTGCAAATACCAAACCATTGGCTATAACAGAGGGAAAACTTGAATTGCTTTCAATGAAACAAGAGGATTTGCAATACAAACTGCAATGAAGCAAGTACCTTCAAACAGATCTTAGTACATGATTAGTTATAAGTGTACTTGCAGTTTTGGAAATTCTAAGAAAAAATTGTAGAAACAGGGAATCTATACAAAATCCGATTAGACGGTTTTCTTAACTAAAAATTCAGGTATCTGAATTAATGTATTAAAAGTCATATCCTACATTTATACCAATTTTAGGCAGCATGGTTTAGATTTGAATCCCAGAGCATATCTGTGATGGCTAATTTCATATATCACTGTAATTGGGCTACAGGATGCCCAGATGGCTAGTTAGGCACTGTTTCTCTATGTGTCTAGGTAGCTGTTTTCAGAAGAGTTCAGCACTAGATTTGGTGGATTGAGTACAGCAGCAGACCCTCCCCAATGCAGTGGGCACCAGGAAACCCACTGAGGGCCAAAGTAGAACAAAAGGTGGAGTTTACTGTCTACCTGAATAAACCTGTTTTTCCTGTCTTTGGTGCTCCTGGTTCTCAGTCCTTCAGACTCAATGGGAACTTTCATTATCAGCTCCTGACCCTCAGGCCTTCAGACCATGTACCAGCCTCTCTGGTTTCCAGGAACAGACAGTAGATCATGAGACTTTTAAGCTTCTGTAATTACATGAGATAATACCTCAGAAATAAATCTATCCAGAAAGAGAGAAAAGAGAGGCAATAAATTGCTCCTAATGGTTTTGTTTCTCTGGAGAATGAATCCAATACCCACTCTAATTGTGCACCCTTATTCCTTGGGTTGACTGTATTGAGAGTTAGAACTTTGTTCCTGGATTTAGCTAGGCATC